ATTGGTCGTTGTTGGTTTTTGCATGGACTTGGAAAGTTAGTGAGACGACTCGACGAGTCAGTTAGGGTTTTCCCAACATTTGGGCACCGCATGGGCTCGACGAGTTGTTTGGAAACTCAGCGAGATGATTTTTTAAGTTCTGGAAGAACTCGACAAGTCAGGGGGCTACACTCGACGAGTTGGGTCAACATGGACTGTTGACCTTGATCGTTGACTTTAACTTTGACTAAGGGTTGACCCGTTTGACTTCTGAGGATATTTTAGTAATTTGAGAATTTATGGAAGTGGATCATTGGTGGATATAGGTGTTTGAGTTGGAGTTGTATTTGGAGAAGTAGCATTATCATCCTGAGCTACTTGCGAGGTGAGTTTTCCTCACAATACTCGAGGGTCGAAGGCACCAAGGCCGACCATTTGGATTATTAACCTGCTTTGTTATTAGTGAGATCAGTTAGATCGGTATCCAGGTATATAGGAAGTTTCTATGATTAGACATCTGTAGATCGGTGTAACTGTCTGTAGACTGTTATGTGATTGCCTGTTATATGTGCACATGTTTGATTGGTAGTTAAGGGTTTTCCATCCTATGGAAGATTGGACCCTAGTATGTTGTTCCTGTAGAATTTTGTATGATTATCTGATATAGGTGCACATGTTTTATTAGTAGTGAGAGTATTACATCCCGAGGATGATTGGACTCATAGTATGTTGGCATTCCAACCCGATGGTTGCGGGCCTGGGGTATTAATCAAAGTCAGAGTTCATTCGTGTTAGCAATTTTTCTTGTATGGTCGACAGGTGTCCATGGAAGAACCTTTATGTTCAATCACTATCGTTACTAGGGAAGGAGTGGTAGCTAGAAGATATTGGTGGCCGTCATATGAGTTGTTTGGTCATTGGAAGTGCTAGGGGAATTTCATTATCATAAGGATTGTAAATGGATAAAATTCATAGATTCTTTTGAGGATGGAAGTTCGGGTGAAGATTCATCAGTTCAGAGCAAGGGTTATGGTCTTTAGTCACCAACATAAAGGACTTCAGGGTTTGGTGTTGTATCATAGGAATCGATTGGGGTTATCGGGCTTGTCGAGACTTCGGGGAGTATCTATCTGGATTTCAAGAGTTGGGCGATCATTAAGATGGGCTAATAATGGAGCACTAGTTTGGTAAGCGCATGTCATAGTCGGTTCGGGTTATATGAAGATAAGATGGGTTGGGAACCTATCAAATTTTGGGGGATGAGAGAGCTTCAACGAAACCAAGTGAGGGTGAATCGATCAGAATTTTAGTGGATGTGTGGCTAACTTTTCTTATCATTTATGATTCTAGATTTCTATTTGCTTGTTGTTTAGATTGTAATTCACACTAGATTCTATGTTTCTATCTACTAATCTTTGATTTGATCTTCATTAAATGTTTGATTTGTACTCAATTTTTACTTGATCAACGAAATTAGGGTTCATATAATCATTATTAGTCAAAATATGAAATTCATAAATTTTTTATGTTTTGATGTAGTAACAAGTAGTTAATTGATTTTAATGGAATGAAAATTAGTGTAATCAAAGGCTATATGTTCATAAACCTGAGTTGTGAAGAATGTTGGACATTGTTGATATTAATTGTTTCAACTTAAAGTCTTTTAATGATCTGATCTAAGAACTTGTTTGGATTTAATCAACTAAATGAAGTTTCACTTAAAGATCATGTTTTAAGTAAAATACTTTAATCAATTTGAAAATATTATAACTTATTAATATCTTAATTATTAATATCTTAATTATCAACCAGTTTGAACATATAATCACATTATACCTTATAAATATAGTACATAAATAGGAATAATAATTAGAATCACAAATATCTTTTAATTCCTAAATTTTAGTTCTTAATTTGTTTATTTATGAAATGACTAATTCCGAAGTAGTTCATCATTTTCTAAAATAAAGAATAAATATTTTATCATTTAATTTCAAGTAAAAAAAAAAGGTTTGACTAGAAAAAAACATATAGGGACTTAAAGCGTAGAATAATAAAGTCAAGGGGTCATTTTCATCTCAATTGGGACGCTGCCAAACTTCAGGACTTTTGATGAGGCTTTTGCGGGAAACGCATGCGTGTATTATACACATGTCACGCGCCGGCTTTCATTTGGACGGATATTTTAAGGTTTGTTATTCGTAAGTCATGACTCATGAGATATCAATAGTAATAAAATATTAAATAGAAAACTAAACTTCCCTTATTTTTATGATGTTGAGTATTTGATAAAAACTAAATATTTATAAACACATAATATGGTATAAATATTTTTTCTAAGCTAGCGCTTAGGGCTCCCAATTCTAAGGGTTCTCATATTCTCCAAAGTTCAAAAGTTTAGTCGATTAAAACATCAAATCCAGTAACAAACCTTAAATTTATATCAAATGAAAGAATAAAAAAACTATAAATTACTTCTTTCAATTAGAATATAGATACATCATTGACTTATCTAGTCCTAAATACCATAAATTATTGAAAATAATGGTAACAAGTTTGCTATGTACTTTTATTATATTTAAGTGTTATAAGAATCATATATAAATTTTTATCAAATTCTTGTTTATTTAGGTTATTACAACAGGAAAAATTCTTTAATTTATATTTAAATTATCCCCGAAGAAAACATAAAGAGTAAACTTGTATGTGAATATAATTGAGGAGTACAATAAAAACCAAAAGCCCCAAAAATTTTGTTCGCTTGTAACCTCTAAACTAGTTGAGCCGCCCTTGATGTTACATACATAGTTAATTTTTTTTATTTGATAATCATTTAGCTATAACTAATATAAAACTAACTATTTCACTTCTACATGATGAGATAATCATAAATATAGTTTCTTTATATAAAAACAATTCATAAGCATAGTTTCTTTATATAAAAACAATAATTGTATTTCTTATTTGAACCCAACCGCATATAGACATATGTAAGTTCCGTTGAGATTTAATATAAAATAGAGATATTGAGATTCAATCTCAACTACATATTTCACATCTGCCGCTCTAACCATCCGGTGTATCGGCACAACCGGTCTTTTATAATCATAAAACGATTATATAGCGTCGCTCGTTTATTTCTCCTCCACCACCATCCCCGCCATCACCACTACCACCACATCTGCCACCAGCCGACCTCATCACTGTCACCTCCGCCACTTATATATCACCGCCACCTCTGTCACCACCATCTCTTCTGTCACTAGTTATCATAACCATATACAGTGTTCTAAAAGGCGCGCCATGGCGTGAGGCGTGGCTTCGCCGTTACGAAAACCTTTATAACGTTGCTGTTAGGCGTGACGCGTAGCAAGGCGTGATATGGCGCGTCATGGCGTGTTATGGCGCGTGTTTTTTCGTTTGAGACACAGTTTTTTGCTCTTTGTTATGTTTTTTCAAATCGGAGATACAAGTATTGTGGTTTTTATTAACTTTTTGTTATTAGTTATTAATCTAACACTTTTAAAAAATAGTTATATTTAATATAAATTTATATTTATGTGGTAATATAATTTTAAATTAATACAAAATCGCCGCCTTACATCACGCTTTGAAAAACGTCATGGCTCGCCACGGCTCGTTAAGCTTGAGGCTTGACTTTGCCGTCATGCCACGCCTCACGCCATTTAGAACCTTGACCATATATGATTACCCAATCTGAACAAACATATATATCATTTATGATTAAAAATATACGTATAAACATGTATAATTATATATTATTATACATTTATGCCATATAATCATTTATAATTACTCATACATCGCTACCGCCGGTATAATAGAGCGTTAGAACGATAAATGAGAAATATGTGGTTGATGTTAAATCTTAAGATCTTTAATTTTTGTAATCTCAATATGTCCCTGTATTCCTGTAATATATATATATATATATATATATATATATATATATATATATATATATATATATATATATATATATATATATATATATATATATATATATATATATATATATATATATATATATATATATATATATATATATATATATATATAGACATTGTAACTCATATTTATATACAGACAAGAAGAAATGTGATGCGGCTATGAAGCAGTTTGAAAGGCTACTTAAACGCAAAGCGTTTGTGGATACTCTAAGAACATCTATAATAAAACAAGTTTGTTCAACAAGAATCACAATATCAACATATAAAAACTTAACAAATATCCATGAGAAATAAGTTTTCTTTCAGAAAACTTATTTATGGGTTTCACCGATATTATTTTTTAAAACAAACAGTTTTATAAATAAGATATTAGTGTCAAAACACGATATTGTTTAATCCATTGAGTTTATAAATTTTTAAGAATATAAAAATACATTAAAATAATAATAAAAGAAAATTCTCACAATAGCATTTTTAAAATTTCATTTATGTTTATTATTGTCTCTCGACAATCCTTTATGATTCGTCTTCGTCATTACTATAAATGTTGTCTTTGACTATAGAGGGCCTATTTCTAACTTCTAATTCGGTTTTCTAATTTGGTCGTAGTCTCGTTTAGACTTTGTACTCCTATTGTCTTTTAATCGCAAAAATGGATCTGATTTTGACCCAACAAGGACTACCCAAGCTTTAAAACTTAATTACATAAGTGTCCATATAAAACTTCTTGCATATTTCACAATACCTTAACTAAAATTTATGAAAATCATTCGAATAGTATGTGTTCGTTGGTAATTGTCTAGGTATTTTAGCAATTATGTTTTGTGATTCTACTCTAAATCGACACTAGAGAATATCAGAATAGGCGAGTTTTCTCTTGCATTGTAAACCAGATGCATGCTAAATTGATATTTTCCACAAATGTTAAACTACATGTGAATTATGTGTTCAATGTTTTGTACATGTTATATAAATGGTTTTGTGAGCCATATTTCACGTGTTTGGATGTTAAACACACACACATACATATGCATAAAACCTTAACATGTTGATTTGCATTGTGTATTTTTATACATTGTTATATCACAACCAAACTTTTGAAACCGAATATACCGAACACACAAATAAGTGATTCTAACATTTCTTACACATGATGTGGTATATTTACTTCCCGTACACAAATAAATCGACCTTCTCTTCTTTATTTAGATACTACAAAAGATCGATTAAAAAAAATATATCAAAAACATACAAATCATATCTGAGAATACGATTTCTTAACAACAACACGAACCACCAACGGTGTTCTCACAACATGAACCCCATCTTCCCACAACAAACTCCCAAAAGAAAACCTCCCTTGCACCTTCACCAATGGACAAATTGTCACTTTAAACTTTAGTCTAGTATTCGTAGAATTAAAGAACAAGATCGATGGGTCCACCATAACACGTGTGCCAGCTGGGGCTTCAATACGTGCCACATAACGAGAACCAGTAGGGCCCACATTCGTCACAATCCTTGATACTGTCGTGGTTTTTTGTAACTCGGGAATCGAGATTGATGGAAGATTAAGGTTTTTTAGGAAGTTGGTTTTTTTAGGGCAAGGAGAGTGCGAGTTGGCTAATGAGCTAACAGCGGTGTCATTGTATCCCATGGCACAAAGGAAATGGATATAATCTTTGGTTGTCATATTGTATATGAGACCGGGATTTATTGCTTTGTTGGGGTCCACATGACCCCCTCCATAGTCGAAAGGGTCAGCCTGCTTGTGTGGAGCCCCTTCTGCAATTGCAGGCTGACCATTTTCATCCTCTATAGAGGCTGTAATATCATACGACACGATATGTAAATAATAATAATACAAAAAAAAAAGAATGTAAGAAGATTGAGTTTTTAGTTTTGACCTGTGGTGACCAGGGCAGACTTTATTGCTGCCGGAGTCCATGTTGGATATAAAGATTTGAGAAGAGCAACGATGCCCGAGATATGCGGGCAGGCCATGGAAGTCCCCGATTCTATTTTGAAGTTGAGTGATGAAACTTTAGTTTGACCGTTGACTAATGAAGAAGAAGCAACCGGAGACCATGATGCCAATATATTAACCCCCGGAGCAGCTATATCCGGCTGCAACATACACTTTGTCAAATCCATCATCACATTTCAAAATCCAAATTTGAAAAAAGTCAAATATAAGTCAAAATTTCTGAAACCTTGAGTACTGTTGGAGACAATGAACTTGGTCCTCTGGCTGAGAAGAATGCAACTTCCGGCGATGTTTGTTTTCCGATGACTGTTCTTGTGCCACTGATCTTCACAACCGGATTACTATAAAGAAGATGCATGAATCGATCTGTTTCTTTTTGACTTAATAAAGAAAGACATGGAGAAAATAAAGTTGTTTTATACCTGTTTGATTCAATGTAAGTGACTATAGAGGTTCCAATGGTAAAGTCAATTTGAACACATGGGATTGCGAAAGTCAAAGTGACATCTTTGGTTGGATACTGGACAAATATGATCCCTACGCCACCGACATCTTGCACATTTCCGGCGGTCAAAGCGGCGGAGCTTTTGGTCCGGGATTGGAAGCATAGAACGATTGCGCCTTCGGCTAAACTCGCATTCAGTGATCCCGCTTCACAACTTCTGTAAAAACTCATATACATTAATAATAATAAAAATTTGAACTTTACCTTTTAAAAGATTATGATTTATGAATAAGACCTTGCATCCTCCTCATCTGCATCATCAGCTACAATATCTTCACCATACACGAGAGGATAAAACCTGTGAAAATCTTTCACTGTAACGAAAGCTTGACCCTGCAGATGATCATTCCAGATAATCACTTTGACTAATACATGCTTCTTCACAAATTCAACAGAAAAACACGTACCACAAAAGTTTGATTGTTTCCAAGTGTAATCAACGTCGGAAAAGCTCTATCAATGGTGCTAGCAGCTACACTTATAATCCATGGAGCGGTGTTAGCCACCGTTTGAGGATACGGCCCGGTATTCCCACAAGAACAAACCACAGTTATCCCACGCGCCACCGCATGAAACGATCCAATAGCCAACGGGTCATCAACGTAGGTCGAAAACGGTGGTGTAGAACCCAAAGAGGCCGAGATCACGTCCACGCCGTCGCGAATTGAGTCGTCAAAGGCGGCAAGGATATCGGCTGAGCTGCAACCACCGGTTGCCCAACAAACCTTATATATGGCGATTTGAGACGACGGTGAGCCACCTCGGGCTACCCCATGGGCTAGCCCAAAGAAACTTGCGTCCGTTATCGGAGCTCCGGCGGCGGTTGAGGACGTGTGTGTGCCGTGGCCGTATGCGTCACGCGCCGATAGAAATTCTGAGCCGTCGCTTGTGTCTAGTTTTCCGAATTCAGCTTCGTATCCCTTGATATACCAACGCGCACCAATGATTTTTCTGTTAGAAACATTGGATCTTAGTTAGAATTTGAATCGAATTCTTGAATAAGAACATGAAATCAATATGTTATTATTATTATTATTATTATTTTTTAAAAATTATCCCATTATCTTGGATAATGAAAGATCGAACCTATTGCAGTTGGACTTATTGAAGTGTTCTCCTTCATCGCATACGCCTTTCCAACGTGATGGAATCCGCTTCATTCCGGCATCGTTGTAGCTTATAGATTCCGGCCATACCCCTGGTCAACAAAAGTCAAACAGAATCTCAAATCATCATTCAAAAGATGTAAATTTTGAGTTTTGATGTCAAAAAATTCCTCTAGTTGTTAATACTTTTTTGAATTGATTGGATCTAACTTCTAATTCAAAGTATAACATACCACTATCAAAGACACCAATGATTGATCCAACACCCGATTGACCTTTGGAGAGTATACCATTGACCAAACGAGTCTTAATGTCGAGAAAATCCCAACTCCGTGTCGTGTGAAGCTTAAGAATTCTATTAGGAATCACATGTACAACTCCTGGTAAATCTGTATTAAATCAAAGAAATAGTAACGTACTTTTATAATAACTCATAATGAAAGGACAAAGTAGTTGTTTATATAAGTTTTATGGGTAAATGCAATACATACTTTCAACTTTCATTTATTTGTGTATTATCATCCTACTTTCATTTCTTTCTATTATTGCAATATACGTATAGCATTTTTACGAAGACATCGTATTTTGGAAAATCTATTATTGTACTTTCAATTGTTTTTATTAGGACATGATTTTTTTTTTTTTTGAAAAATCTTCAAAATTATAGCAGTGAAAATTACTTTGTATTTGGATCGATACCTGCAACCAATGATGCCTGAGTTGGGGTTAATACCGCAGCAAAGCCGGAAAAGCCATGTTTGTAGCTATACAAAATTGATCTATTTGCAGCTTCTTTGCTAGAAAAATCAAAAATCAACAATAACAAATAGTAAAGCTATGTTCTCTTGTGCCCATTTCTTTTCATTCTTTATTTTCATTATATGGCTCCCACGTGAGTCTAATTAATAGTACGAAACAAATTTGTAAGCATTAAGTTCCTTGACTTTATCGCTTAAGTCGTTCTTTGAAACATCTTATACTAAATTATTAAAAATAACTAGAATGTGCATTATTAAATGAAGTCAAACTAATGTCCTTTTTGTACAATTGGCTGGATTTTAGGTTAACTTGTAAAACATGAGATATGTTTTGAATTTTTATGGTCAAACAACTCAGTTCTAAATTAATATCCACAATTAATGGGATTTGAATCATGTTTATATGGATACTAGTATAGAAAACCTTTAAAATGATTTTGGGATCTAGTTGCTATCCCACAAATATATAATAAATAAATAAATCTATCTTTTGCATTCCTTTCTTTCATATCTACTTCAAACGTTTGCTACATTAATATCAATTTCATAAAGTAATATAACACCAACTCCCAAATGAATTTCTACATTTTGGGTAAAAACCAGTTCATTTGACTTTCAAAAGTCAGCAGCAGATATATCATATAATCTAAAAATAATAATGTATAATAGAACAACACATAACATAAAAATATTTATATAAACAAACCTTCCAAGTATTTGAGAGAGGATCCCATGGTGTGTATCCTGAAGAAGCATTGGCTCATTGAGAGTATTATGTCCCATATAAACAATATGAACCTGAAATTGGATTAAAATATTCTTGATTTGATTAGTCAATAGTCAAGGAATCAACAATAAAAAGTCAGACATTTCAAATATATATTTAAACATAAAAAAAAAACATACCTTGCTCCTTGAAATGCCCAACACAAACCATTTTTGCTGAAAGATTACTAAAAGGAAGAGAAGAACATTAACCCTTGATGAGAATCCCATGAGAGATTTCAAAGTATGAAGCTTACATACATATATAATTGAGCAAAATGGGGTGGATTTTTTAGTCAAATTTAATAAGAATGTGAAAAAAGGAAATGGGTTCTTCTTAGAAATTTGAAACTCGTTTGGTGAATTACTAAAGTACCCTTCTCAAAGAGAAAGAATAGATACTTTCTGTATTTTGTATCAGAAGGATGTGGATTTTTTTTTGGATTTTTGTATCCTGGAAGATTCATATGCTTACAGAAATACCCTTTTGTTTTCTGGAAGAACAGTTGAAAAGGAAATGATTCACCATATTGAAACTTTTATGAAATAATTTTACCAGAAATACCCTTTTGAAACAGAAAGAAAGAACACGCTCCTACAAAAACAGATATGTATGCATATGCTTGCAGAAAATGATGTGGATTTATGGGATCTTTTTTCCTTAAAGATAGAATAAAAAACGAAATGGGTTCATGTAAAATTTGAAATTTCTTACAAATCATACCATAAATACCCTTATATATGTACATATAATTGTACCAAAATCATGTGGGTTTTGGATTTTCCCCTTAAAAGATTCAATAAAAACATAAAAAGGAAAAAGAAACGGGCTCACCCCATAATTTATAAAAAAAAAAAAAATCAGATATACCAGAAATGGTGTTTTCACACACAGATAGATGTCTCTGTGTTATTAATACATCTGGTGTGGATTATGAACTTATTTTCACAACAAAAAGATGAAAAAAAGAGAAGATGGGTATTTTTTTTTTCACAGTTTACCGGAATTACCCTTTGAAAACACAAAAACTGGTCAAATTTTGTACTTTTTACCCAAAGATTTTAGACTGGAGATGCCAAAACAGGCAAAGGGAAGTGTATTATTCATCATAAAAAATCGAACTTCTCTTTTTATATGCAAAACTGTTGGGTAAGATAAGATGGATGAGGGCCCACGAAATGCTGTGCTACCTGCTCCACAAACATTCTGATTTTGAGGTGAAATTACTTACGCCATGAAAATGGGTTCGTGTGTGTGTGTGTAGTGGAATTTGGAGTGTTGAAACGCGTTGACTTGACTTTGCCGCATTGGGGAAGAACAGTAAGGAGGTCACTTGCAAGTGTCGGATAAAAAAAGCAGATTCAAATCCAATTCAACGCTTTGTTGGTATCTGATTGTAAACATGTGAATTCACAGTATACTTACTGCTCAAGTTTTTAATTGTTTTTTTTTGTTTACCATTAATCAGCATCGATTCCAATTTCCACATTTCAATGATAGCCTAGTAACATCTGTCTCATAGCATTATCATTATAGTAATCTCTAAAAAGACAACACCCAAGCGCTACCCACATCTCCAAGTAGTCTCCATTAACGTCTTCCATAGTAGTACAGTCATCATTAGATAACACAAATATCTACACCCAAGCACTACCCACATCTCCAAGATGGGTTGATGTGGGTTTAATTTTCTTGGGCAATACTTCCTGAAGTACAACTGGAATTTATCAATTTTAAGTGAATGTAAAATGCTATAACAAATAAATAAGTGGAATTAGAATGTTATTTCTGGGATATAATGATTATAACCCTTTCTAATGTTCTTGGTTTGTGTGTTTTAATACATAGTGTATAATTTTTATATCCATTTTAATTAGTTGTTGAGTTTTTTTATTAGTTTTTTTACAGCTTGATCGATGTGAAAAAGGAGGGACTTTGACTGTTAAAATGTGTCCTGTTGTCATGACAAAATGTATGCTAATTACGTTAAAGTTATTTTGCAATGAAAATATATGATGGGAAGTTAATCACTTCACTTATATTATATGAGTTCTTATTAGATAGGTTTGTTGTGGAAGCCTATATGTGGTGGAGGCCTATATGTGTCTTCGTGATGTTATTTTGAGGTCATGCATCCTTTATAATGTGTTTGAATGTTCTTTCTATTTTTTTCTTGGAAGTTAAATCACAAATCTCCTTTTCCACATGTATCTTTATTAGCTTCCTTTGGCTTTCTATTATAACTTCACTATTTTTACCAACTTTCCATATCTATTGAGGTTTGGTATATGTTATATCGGTACTTGGTGTTCAGTAGATTTCCTTAAGGATGCTCTTAAACATTTGTTTCTTATATATAAATATGGTTGACACGTTGTGGTTGCTTATTGATATTGACAACTTGGTTTTACTCACTGAATTTATGTTAGATATAGTTTAATTCAAGGTTAACCTAATCAAATCATATCATGGTAGAGCCTTTTTAGTTTTATAAACAATCCAATTTTGTTCTTTTTCTTGGTTTAGAGAATGTAGTCTTATTTTTTGAACAATTTCTTATGCCTCCTTTAGATGATTGTTTATGTGGAGTAAGAAGAAGTAAAAGGGAAACTCACTTTATGACTGTAGATTAAAATATTAAATATAATGTTTCTCAGTGCATCGATTATTTTTATTTCCTTTTAAAGTTTTGTTTTATAATTTTTACTAATTTAGATCTTAGGTTAAATCATGTGTTAAATTAATATTGTATTTGTATTTTCAGCCAAAAATTGAAAGGAACAATAGTTGATTGTACAAAACTATACCAAAAGGGCCACAAATCACCGGTTCTTATGTTTATTTTTAGCCAATTATAAGTATGTTGTTACAACTTTATCAAAAGCCTTCTTAGAACATTTTCATTACATCCATAATTATAAGTGATTGTTTATTGTTCGGCAAATCGTATAAGATCCTATTGGGAATAATATTTGGATATGGTTGGGTCAATGTGAAGTTTATTATCGGCTATCTTATAGTAAAAATGTGGCCATATCATATGTTTATGTTTCTTTTAGCCTATATTATCTTTTGCTTATAGACTTCATTTTTAGGTTAACCGGTTCTTTCTTAGATTACTTTACTGGTTCAAGTTTTGTTCCAAGTTTCCTATACGTTGGTTTTATTTCTCAATAGGAATTTATTTATTGTTCCTTTGTAATTTTGAATATTTAACGGATAATTTGGTTTATTTGAAAACTTTCTTACATTTAAGTTTTTTACAAGCTATTTAAATTTATATTATGTTCAATATAATCATAATTTTATTAAATATCTAAATAAAACTTATATCTTATTAATTTATTAAAATTTTATAAATCTTTGATTTTTTTTTTTACCATTTTTGATTATCAATATTGTTTTTGTTTCTTACCCGTAGTTTCCGCGGATTATAATCTTGTGTGTGTGTGTGTCTATATATAGTTATATGGAAAATGAATGATTAGGGCAACACATATTTGAAACAATGAAAACATGACAACACATCACTTCCACAATAACTTCCACAATACATTACTTGTGAAGAAAGAAATGAACACGTGTCATTTGATTATTGGTTCCGGTAGATGTTGCCCTAGTTATTTGTTTACCATAGAACTCACTCATATATATATATATATATATATATATATATATATATATATATTATTCATTTCCATTAAACTGTTAATCATATCCCAAACAAAAATCATGATTGACATTCCAAGTTTTGTCCTTCTACATTATGTATTATCTTTTTATTTTTATATTTATTATATCAATTATAATGTATGTTATTTGAACTTCATTATGTTTTTATAACTTTTGGACTTACTATTTTCAGAAATAAATTATTAGAATAGAGTTTATAGTTTTGATTGTATTTGATTTTTTATATTTAACGGGTACACATAAATTGAAACCGTGGTTATTCGACTTTATACAGTTCGGTTTGGTTCGGTTTTTTTTTGGCAATTCGGTTCGATTACGGTTAGTGCACATTAGATACCCGCCACGTAGTGACGGTTCACAATTTTATTACTAACCGAATCAAACCACCCCGTTAACACCCCTATTTAACACCCTCCTTTTGAATGCTATTATCAACCCTTTGGAGAGGTTAAAGGAAGGGATTGGTAACATTGCAAATTAGTCATCATATCCCAGAGGAATGCTTCTTTCTATTGATCTCATAATTAGGATGTCCTCCTAAACGTGCACCAAGGGTTGTGTTGCCATAATTATCCTTGAATTTACTACTGAAGTCATTAAAAGCTATGCATATTTCATATCGGTTTCCAAGACATGCAAAAACACTATTGGGTATCGAACTTCAAATATATATATATATATATATATATATATATATATATATATATATATATATATATATATATATATAGAGAGAGAGAGAGAGAGAGCTAGGTTCAAATGTTTTTAGCAAGTATTGTGTGCCTAAATGCACCAATGAGAATTCAAGAAATAATTATCAATTAAATAAATCATTTAAGGGTATTCTGGACATTTTGTACTTTTCAATTAAGGAATCATTTAATTGAAATCCTGCAATTAAAGAAATAAAATCAATAATATTGACCTAGTCTCTCTCTTGCATCATGTCTTATATTCAAGGAATTACCAAGATGAATGACCGACACCCCACAACACAACCGATCAAGACCTTGATTTCTTCTTTCTTCTTCCAATCGACACACATCACAGATAGAAGGAGTCGATCGCTTCTTCGTTTTTTTCTGATGCGCACACACAAGATGGAGAAGAGAAAGCACGACCCCTTTTCTTCCCTCCTGACGATCGATTCTTGATCTCGCATAATATGGAGAAGAGAGAACACGAGGTACATGTTGTTTCTTTTCATTGGATTTCCCCAAATATGGACCCTATTTGTAAAGGAACAATTTTCAGTTACTCGTTTTGTCATCTGTGATCAACATAGATCACAGGTTAAATTCAGTTCTGTAAATACTTTGGCAATTTGCAGGAAATACTCCCAATTCCCATGGACAACCGAAATGTCTAGTACAAATCTGTTAGAATTCATCAATGCCCACCATGTGTTCGATGTAATTACTGAACCAGGAGTACAACAAATTATCTCTATTAATGTTATTATTTGTGTGCTATAATGTTATTGGAATTTGATTTTATGTTTGTTCACAGGTTTTCGTTACAATAATGATTCAGTGGTTGTGGTTAAAATTATGGGGGTTCTACCATTTTCAATCAAAACCGAAGCCACAAAAACATTTATGCTTTTTTTTTCTTCGACCGTATGGAAACCGAACACAGGAGATTCATTTGATGTTGATGGTTCTGAATTGGTTTTTTTTCATTCATGATTCATAGAAAATGTGGTGATTTAGGGAGCGCCCTTAAAGTGTTTGATGAAATGCCAAAGAGAAATATGATAATCTCACATTGTATACATGGTTAGTGATGGAATCACTGGTTAATGAGGAGATGCTGGTAAGTTTACATGAAGTTTATTGATCTTTGATTAAGTTTTTTGAGTTGGGTTTTTGTAATTTTTTATTTTTTTTTCAGAAATTCAGCGACACCATTCTTTGATGGCAGAGAACTTGTAGCTGGAAGTATTGATGATTCAATCTATGTTTATGATGTTGAAGCAAACATCTATCCTGATCATATATTTGATGTTGAAGCAAACTGACTTTTCCTTATGTTTATGATGCAGAAGCAAACAAACATATGAGCTGATCATAGCTTTGACCTTGTTTACATTTTTATAATATTTCCATTCTGAAAGAATAGTTTATTATATAAGAGTATTATTGCTTTATTCTGATAGAATTTGTAGTTAATTAATTATATGTTTAATGTGCAGTTGTTACAAGTGTATCACTACAAAGTATTTGACAATGAATTTGTGATAGAAATGGCTTGAAGAATGGCTTGAAGACCTGATGGGAAAGGCTCCTTGTATAAAATAATTCTCATGCAATACAATTCTGACAGAATGTCAATATCACAAAATGTCAATCTCATGGAATGCTAGCAAGTTTTGAATTGGCTTAGATGTCAAACATACACAAGACATCTAGAATGTTGTTATGTTTTAAGAATTATACTTGGTATTCTTTCAGAATGTTTTTTATAATTCAATGAATCACAATGGTACAATGTAATTATTTGGTATATTATTAGTTCAAGAATCGATTTTGTGTATTCTTTCAGTATATATTTACTAGTACAGAATAAAATCGAAAAATATGTTTACTACTTTATGGTTAAAATTCTATCATTCTGACATAATAAAAATCGGATTTTTAATTTTAAATTAATTTAAAATATTTAGAT